ATTTAGGAATCACTGCCTTGGAATACAGCTGGAAGTTTAAAAATTAATACGAGTTGCAGTGGAAGGTTAATATAACTCATTTATAACTCCACAATCCTGACCTTTTGCAAATGATATCAAAAGTCCATAAAGGCATTAATGCTGCCTATTACCACAGGTTAATTTATATACTACTTCTCACATTCATGAGGCTCAGAAACATGAAAGGAACTCTGCTTCTTTCAAGTATTATCTCCTGAATATCAAATTTCCTGTCCTCCAAAGGAACCTTTAACTCTGTTAAGCTAACTATATAGGAAACTATTATTCTGTGAAACGGAACCTGAAAATTAACTGCTGTCTCCTTACTAGCTTGGGCTTGTGATTTTTTGTTGATCAGGTAGATGCTATATGGACATAGTACATATTATTTTTTAGCAAGAGGTGGAAGGCAGACAGGAACTTAGATGTTATTCTTTGGACATTGCTGATTTCCAATCTGGTTGTATGTTCTGTTTACGTTAGTGATTAATACTTCCAAAGAATTGGATACATTGCCAATGCAGGAATGCCGCTTCACAGGTCCAAGCCTTGAGTTAATAACTATTTTAAAAAATGACACAATTTAACCAAATGTATGCATATAAGCAGTAGAATTATGGCCCCTGCTCTTCTCTTCTGTTTCCCATTTATCCACATGACTTGGGAACATTCAGAGCATCCAGATTATGAGATGAACAGAAAAATGCTTGTGCTTTACAAATATATGTAAGGTGGCTTCAAATGGGGGGGGGGGGGGACAAGGCAGAGGGAATCTAAATAGTAATAATGAGATATCAGGAATTCTCTATGGCACAGGAGTCAAAATGCATGACATGGAAAAGCAAATCCGTACTCAGCAGATGCCGAAAAAAGGGGTGGGAGGGAAATTTGGTTCAGTTTGCAATTAAGGGCAGCCTTACCTTATTCGCAATTTCTGAAACAATATGCAAACTGACATACAACCATCCTTCAAAATCCACACTTTCCTGTATTTTGCAATGCAGTTCTCCTACCAATTACTGTGTACAAACGTGTAGATTAGGTGAAAGTGTAGCAATGGTTGGGGCCAGGGTGGTTTTCCTTTGCTTTCCTTTATCTATGTATATCGTTTTAGTTCTATTAATTAATCCCATTAATGTTTAATTGTTTTTTAATTACTGTTTTTCCTGTGTTGTTAGCAATTCTTATTTTTACGCAGCCTTGAATCCTTTCAGGGGAAAAGGTGGGATATGAATAAATATATAATAAAGATGTTTTCCTGGAAATAAGAGCTCAACCTAGTAACTTACTCAGGGCATTGGTTTTCCAGCTCTAAATATGATTAGATATTTTGTGTGAAGTGTGATAAAGCTGCTTACCAGCCATCTTGGTGACACCTAAAGATGGGCTGTGATCAGACTACCACCTCTTTCACTAGGCTTCCCATCAAGTTGAATACCAGCTTTGAATGTATCCACCTTCCTTATTATTTTCTGGCATAAGGTAATTAATTTTTTTAATTTGCTGAGACTTTTTAGTTATTGCTATATATTTTGGTGCTTTAAAAAATCCTACTGGCTGTTGCTTGGTTTTCAGAACTGCCACTGTTTTTAATGTCTCACTGCTTTATATTTTAATATTGATGGCTATTCTTTCAATTTATTGTTTTAAATATTACCTGCCCAGAGAACCATTTGGAATTGAACTGTGGACTATTTATCTATATAAGAATTGTTACCCTGTCTTTCTAAAGCCCCTGTGGGTCTGTTTATCATAATGAGGGTGACAATAAATTATATTAGAACTTATTTTCCAAAGAAACCCAAAATGACTAACAATATAAACCAATCAGCATAAGCAAATAAACAATCAGTAAAAGTAACAATCTGAATATAACATTAGATAACAGTATGAATAGAAGCAAGCAGAAACTATAATCTCTTTAGAAGTGACTCTAACAGGAAGACATAAAATACAATTTTAAATGTCAATACAGCTACAACACTTTCTAGCACCACTCTCTGACATTTCAAAAAGCAGAGTAAGAAACTGTTGTTACATTAAAGCATGGCCATCCAGGGACTAGGGTCAAGGGGAAATTGCACTTCCAATATCCACAGATCCCAACCTTCCTACCTTCCTTCCTTGTATGTTTCTGGCATAGTCTTCTCATTTTTTCTGAGAAGCTAGCCTGCTCCTCACTTTCCATATTTTACCTTGCCCTCCTCTGGAAAAACTCCTGCAGATATCCCTGTGTGTAAGACCAATCCATAAAGGCCCAGCTTCTCTTTACTTCTGCTTTCTGTCTAACCAGGAACCAATGTGTTTCCATTACGGCATGCCACAGATCTGGGTAACCTTTGTGCTTTCAAAAACGGAGAGCAGCCGTTGTTTCTGTGTCTCAGAATCTTTGTTGTATGATATACACCACCCAGCAGAGACTTATTCGGTATGTAGTTTCCATCTTGGAAATGAGTCTGAAAGCTGACTGCTGGCTATAGCACCTGACCCTAATTGCCGGAATTTTTTTCTTAGGATTTTTCCTTGTCCCACTACTTCCTGCTTTGTGTAACATCTTGCCAAAGAGAGCTGGAGAAAAATTGCCCTTATTTTATGACATTTTTGTTAGTTCTGATAAAGGTATTGCCCAAATGTGGATTTTGGTGTGCTGATCTTCTCTTATGAACCAACCTTTTGCTTTCTGTGTGCTTTTCCTATTGTGACTATGTCTGGATGTGAGGAGGGGGAAAGTCCTGCACAATTATCGGAAATCTCTACTTTGAAAGAGAAAAAATTATATCAATAGAATGTGTGTGTAAAAAGCTGGTGGGGTCTGTCTCTGCAGCCTTATCACATCATTTCTAGGCAATCTATTAATTTAGCCTCTTTGTATTTACCATCCTTCTTTACTCAGCATGTGGTTTTATATGATGTTAGACCTTTTACCATGTGTTTGAGAGTTTTGGACAGCTGGTGTTAATGGTGTTATAACCAATCTTCAAATCTTACAGCGTATAATGGATCTATCTGAGCAGAGTAAGTGCCTGTAACTCTGTTTAAAAGATCTATTATTGAGTAGCTTCAAAAACAAATGCATTTGCTTCAGCACAAAATTGGAGACATCTCTGCTCCTTTTTCTAAGGATCATTTTGCGTAAATACATTCATAATTATGGAAGCCTTATTGGTGTCATCTACAATAATTTCATGTCATATTTTCTGGCTTCTCCAATATATTAACCTCAATGTAATGGGGATTAATACTACATGCTACAAACAAGCCATTGGTCACTGTGCCTGAGTCTCACCTTGTCTGAGGCCAAAAGCAGTTTTCAATGCCACCAATCAGTCTGGGAACTTTCATGTAACATGGAGATTTTTCTAGCCATTTGCAAAGTGCATTTCTCTCACCATTTGGATAACTTTAGCTAGCCTGTGTGCATCAGAGATGGAGAAGAAGAGCTGCGAGGTCTAAAATGATAATTTCCAGGTCAAGCCAAACAGTTGTATCTCTCATTTTAAGATTTAAGGATTGTTTACTCTTTGCTTTGTGGAGGGGAAAATGTGTTTTGTCTGCGTGTGCTAAAGCACATTATTGCATCAATATTGTAATAGTTTTTAAAGAATGAGTAAAATAAGCAGAAATTGAAGTGCTGATTTAAGAAATACATGGCTGAAATGGTGCTGGCTGATAGTAGCAGCTGAAGGATGGATGCAAGAGATAGGCTCAACCTATAAACATCAAAATGACGCATCTTTTAAATAGAAGGAAGGGTAGTGATAGAGATCTGTGGAGATTGTGCTAGTGTTCTGTTCTTTTTTAAAAAAAGTTGGACTAATGGAGCATAGGAAAGTTGCAGGAGGACAATGACCTGAGATGAAATCATGTAGAAGTTCTTTAGAAATGGAGTCAATAAAGTATGGCAATTCTATAGGCAACACCTAATATGCAAGCATCTCCTAGAACTGAGCATTCACACCAAACTTAACCAAGATGTGGGAAGCTATGAGGCATGATGGTATTGCACAGTGCAAGCTGAAGACAGATGTGTCCTTAATCCATAGATTAAAGAAGGAATGGGGAACCTTTTTCAGTCCAAAGACAACTGTCCTGGGTCCACCTGTCAACAGCCAAATGCAAAAGTGGCCATGACTAAAGTAAAAAAGTGGGTGGAGCAACAGATACGAGTTTTACATCTATACAGAAGTCTTTGTCCCAGCCATGCAGAAACCGTCCTTTCCATGGTTAGTGGCTTGGCTCCAGGTTTTGCTCCTACTAGCAGGAGCATCCTCTGGGCAGTGGAAGGTGAACAGGTGTCCTTCTATAGGAACACACTAGAAGCTGAGGTAATGGCTATTGAGTTTTATTCTTGATGAGGCCTGGGAGCCTGCACGAAGCAGAAACTAACACTCTAGCCAGGACATACCTGTGAGTCTGCTGTCCAGCAGTTGGCCCCCCTGGGTCATAGCTATTTCTCTTAAAGAGGCCATATGTCAAGTATTTAGTTGATAATGCATACATTACAGAGACTTTTGCTTATTTCTCTGCCCCACAGTCCTTCCAAAAATCTGACTAGAGGGATTGAGGCATGTTCCCACAACAGGGTGGGGACCGTAGAGAGGGGGGGGGGATAAGAGGAAATTGATTCATCCCTTTTCCCCGTGGGTTTCCTCCATTACATCGAAAGACTTCTGTGAGCAGAAGGGGCCTTTCAGCTCAGAAATAGCAGTCTGGATTGAACCCACTGTGATTAGAAGTGTGTTCTGTCATTGTGGATGGGCACATTATTTCCCCCATGACATTGGTGATAACGATAAAATGTAATGGAGGAAGATGGTCCTTCAGACACCCCTGCGGTGCTAGCTGGGAGAGGGAGGGACCACTATGGGAGATGGATGGTGACCATTTCTCTACCTTGCTTACAAAATTTGTTTCTTGTTCTCACTTCCCCACCCACCCCCATTTTCAACAATATAACTTTTTTAAAAATTAAATTACAGCTCCTTTACTTATGAATCATTTGCCATCACTGCCTCCAAGACTGGATACTGTGGACATGCAGTCTCCCAGAATACCAGGTCGAAAAAGAGGAAGACCCCCGCTCCATTCGACGCCTATGAAAATGGCTGTTCATAACCTCTATTCTGCACCAGCTGGTTCTCTGCCTGTTGTGAAGATTCCAAAGAAGCGAGGGAGGAAACCTGGATACAAGGTATGCCATCCTACCGGCTCATTTAGTAGCTATGATGTTTGTCTTTTTGTCTTGTAGCTAGTCTGTGGCCTTCTGGATATTGCTGGTCTCCATCTTCCACCAGCCTACAGCCAGCTTGACCCACTGGCAGGGATGCTAGGAGCTGCAGTTCATCAAAATCCTGAAGGCCACATGTTAGCCTCTCCTTGATATTTGGAATATATCCATGTGGCATGAACACATGTGCCAATGTGAGAAGGCGGAAGGAGATTCATGCTCCTTCTTCTTGCTGCTGCTGTGTGGTTAAGAAGCAGGAAGGGCAGTAGCGCAGAATCCTTAGCAGCCTGTTCAGGCTAACACCCTCGTTGGCTCATGCCAGTACAGACATTCAGAAGATTCTATGGACATGCAGTGTAGCAAACTAGTCTTCCACCACCACTGGTTCTTCCTTGGTTGCTTGCTGTTCAGGCACGGTACCAAGAATTTCAGGTGGTGTTTCCTTTTCCTTTTCGCTACAGCAATTCTGACTGCTGAAGAGCCAAACCACTGCTTTAAACCAAACAGGAGAGCACATGTCCAGCAATGGGAAATGGCTATTGTGAAATTTTTTCAAAGAAAGCTCTGTTTGCTGAGATATGATTCTGGTTTAAGACAATAATTTCGTGGTCAAAGTGTTCAGGAGAGGGAATTATCAAAACACACAAAAGTTAAAACTATCCTCCATATTTAGGTAATTTATATACAACCATACTTCTGTAAGGTAAAATAATTAATGATAAGCAAAATATTACCCTCTGTAAGTGGCTTCACTATTCACATTGGGTTGTTGTTGTTGTTTTTAAAAAAAACTAAAAACAACTACTGGGCTCTATAATAAGTTAATGAATTCTCCTGCATTTGACCATTTTCATAATATCCCACAGTTTCCCAAGCCATTCTTATTTCACAGGCATGTCCTTACATATCCAACAAGCATAAACCACTCTAGCAACTGATAGACCATGAAATATTACTTCAGGGTTCTTTCTGGTGTACAAAATCTGCTGTGAACTTAAGAAGGCAAACAAGATATTGCTTGGAATAAATGAGTTCAGTGGTTGGTTTCAGATTCCTATTTTAATGCACTTTTATTGAAGCTGATTGGTTGTTTCAAAAATGTTGTGAGCCACTGGAAACACCCAACAGAATGGAAAGATGGAAGAGAAGCTGTAAATAAGCATTTGGGTTTTGGTTTTTTTAAAATCTGCATTTGCTAAATTGATAAGTTTATGCAGGTCACAGAATCCAGCCTGATGCAGATATTTGATTTTTAGTGTAGACTATAGACTGCTTTGAAAGCAGCTGACAAGCTAGGTTACATCCAAAGGTCACCTTTCTCAGCCAGAAGCAGCTTCCTCTGACAGAAGGGAGACCTTCATTCAGTGAAAGGAATCCATTTATCAAAGGAGGGCTCCTTCTGAGAGAGAAAGGGAACTTTTGCATCCAACTCATGTGTCCTGTATAAGCTGCTGTCCATCGCATTATGGGGCACAAGAAATTCAAACTACTATTAAATGCTTTCCAAGTAAGGATAGAGAAGAAATTCAATTCAGTGCCATTTAAAGGCAAACCTTCCTTATTTGCACTTTCTGAAACAATACAATACAGTGGTACCTCGGGTTACATACACTTCAGGTTACATACGCTTCAGGTTACAGACTCCGCTAACCCAGAAATATTACCTTGGGTTAAGAACTTTGCTTCAGGATGAGAACAGAAATCATGCTCCGACGGCGTGGCGGCAGTGGGAGGCCCATTAGCTAAAGTGGTGCTTCAGGTTAAGAACAGTTTCAGGTTAAGAACAGACCTCTGGAACAAATTAAGTACTTAACCTGAGGTACCACTGTAATGAAAACACAACTATCTTTCATAATTCACACTTTTCCATATTTTGAAATGCAGTTTTCCAACCAAGTACTGTACAGTCATACCTTAAGTTGCGTTCAGTTCATGTTGCGTCTATTCGGCCTGCGAACGTGGCGAACCTGGAAGTGTATAATTCCGGGTTACACCGCACGCACGCATAAGTGTTCTGCACGCTTTGCACATGTGCAGAAGTGCTCTATCGCGCTCCGCACTTGCGCAGAAGCGCTGCTCTAGTTGCGGACTTTTCGGGTTGCGAACGGCACCCTGGAGCGGATCGTGTCCGCGACTAGAGGTACCACTGTAATGCATACAAATGTTCATCTACTAGGGTAAAATGTGCATCAAAATACACATATTATTGGCAAAAGCGTACAAAATGCACCATAAAAGGGAAATGACTGGAAAAGTGTGATTATTGCATAATACAAAAATATGTGCATTAGGAAAAATTCACACCAAAATTCTGATGAGGTTTTTTTAAAAATTGCAAGCTGATGTGGAAATGTGATGAATTGAATGGGAAAATGGAAAAACGAGAAACCAAAATTTACAGCTTTGCCTATCGCCACTTCCAAATAGTACTTGGTTTTCTGTGCTCCTATAACAATAGGATTTGGGCCAAATCTTTGCAAGGTCAAATTTCACCTCCTCCAGCAAAAGGAAAGTTTGAGGTGTTTTACATAATTGTTTTAGTGAAACCTGACAAAGATGCATGCGCTTTTCTTCATGTGTGAAGACTTTTATTTGCTACCAAATATAGAAGTGAGGCAAAAAACACCAGAAAAAGGGAGGCAGTAAATTGAAGATCATTCATTATTTATGGGGACTGGTTTAATGCAATCATTTCTGTCATCTAACCTGTAAGAATAGCAAGTTCGGGGGTGATGCTGTTTCTTGATGAATGGAGACCAAAAGTAAGACATTCTCTAGTAAACAATGGCTCCAGGTTCTGAGGCTGACAACAGCAATCTGTAATGCTCAACACATCTGACTTTGTGTTTTTCATTAGCATTGGAAGATTTGTACACCGAAGCAACATTTCAGCAAGAAGCCTTTCTGTTGGATATGGTCCCCACTGCTAAAGCATGCAGCTCTCAATCACAATGCACTTGCTGCTAGAGTCAGAGAATACATTTGTGACGGGTAGATCTCTTGATTTAATTAGCTCCCAAATAGCATGGGTTCCTGCTTCCATGAGACTTTTATGTGCATTTTTAAAAGCTCTTGCATGCTCAAATGGCAGGCGACCAACTTCTTTATGGCAGCTGGATGTTGGATTATTACAGAACAGATGGATCAATTTGTGTCTGTACGTTACAAAAAAATGAATTTACAATCTGGGTTAAATTTTATTTTGATGGAAGTTTGCAATAAATCCATAGATGCCAACAAAGGCATTTTTATTGTCCCCTGTATAGATCTGACTTTTCCAGTTACCATTAAACCTTCATGACTGGAATAATTAGCACATTATAGATAGATAAAGACAGACATGAAGTTTTAGTTCCCCCTCCCCATTTTTTCTTATAGTGATCTCTCACTGATGCCTGTGGGTTACTCTAGTTAGTTGTGTGCATCTAGACAACCTAGAGTGCAGCCTAAAAGCCTATTGCTTGGTGGAAGATGAATAGGCAAGATGTTGCATTGAAACAATTGATCTACACAGACTTCAGAGCCTATAGAGGCTATTGATGTGCACTCATGGAATGGAGCCATGGCCCCAACTCAGCATTTCAGTTCCATTGTGGCACCCCTCTGTTACATGTGGTGCTAAATGCATCCATATAATTATATTTTTCTAGTTGGCCAGGTAACTGATCTCCATGGAGACTGATCGATCAGGAAATTGATCTCCAAGAAAGCTCATTTAGATAAATCAGATACTGCTGGATCAATTTCCTTCGAAGGAGAAAATATTGTACATGGTGGTGTCTTTGTAACCATTTTGCAAATGTATAGGCTGAGTATATATTACAGGGAAGAATAGCAAGCACAGCAGGCATGGCCAGCATTTACCGTATTTTTCGCCCCATAGGACGCACCACCCTATAGGACGCACCTAGTTTTTTTTTTGGGGGGGGAAATAAAGAAAAAGAATTATTTCCCCCCCCAGGCACGGGGCTGGCGCGGGGGAAGCCCGAGCTTCCCCCGACCCCAGCCACCAGAAGAGCCTGCTATCCGCAAGCTTAGGGAGCCGTGCCGGTCTACCTAGGCTTGCGGACAGCTGTGCGAAGCCCAGGCGCGCTGAGGCTTCCTAATGCAGGCAGCTCTGCGCAACCCTCCGGAGCCCAGCGCAGCTTGGCGCCGGGCTCCGGAGCGATGCGCAGAGCTGCATGGAGCCCAGGAGGGCAGGCAGCTCTCCGCGATCCTCCAGAGGCCGGCGCGGCTTGGCGCCGGGCTCCGGAGGGATGCGCAGAGCTGCACGGAGCCTGGGAGGGCAGGCAGCTCTCCGCGATCCTCCAGAGGCCGGCGCGGCTTGGCGCCGGGCTCCGGAGGGTCGCGCAGAGCTGCGCGGACCCCGGGAGCGCAGGCAGCTCTGTGCGACCGTCCAGAGGCCGCGCGGCTTCGTGCCGGGCTCCGGAGGGTTGCGCAGAGCTTCCTGAAGCCTGGAGAGCGAGAGCCTCTCGCTCTCCAGGCTTCAGCGAAAACCTGTATTCGCCCCATAGGACGCACCCACATTTCCCCTTCATTTTTGGAGGGGGAAAAGTGCGTCCTATAGGGCGAAAAATACGGTATCCCCAAATCAATATCACTCCAACCCCTTCTACTAACCAAAATATTATAGAGAGAAGAACGTACTTATTATTATTATTATTAGGCCCAAGCCCACAGAAAGTTGTCCTCAAAGAAATGTAGCCTTCAGGCTGAAAAAAGTAAGTTCCCTAGCCCTGCATTAAAACCATCAGAATAATTAAAACAGACATAGGTAAGAATCTGAAAGCACTAGCAGCCCTGCGCTCCTTTGGGATGGAGGCTGGGGTATAAGTTTAATAAACAAGTGAATAAATTTAAAACCTAGATCATAAAACAGTGTTCTTTAGTTGCTTGAAAACAGCTGAAGAAGGGGAGAGGATGATAAGAAGCTGTCCTGGATCTCTGCTGACAAAGCATCCCATAGTGCTGGCACTGCTGCTGGAAAGGACCTGTCTTTCCTACCCACCATTTTGATCTCACAGGTGTCTGGGACAGAGAGCAGGGCCTTTGCTGCTGCTTTTAAAGTCCAGGAGGGAGAAGGCCAGTTTCTCAGGTAATCTGGCCCCAAGCTTTTTATACCATTAATGTTTAACACCTCTACAGTAAATTGGGCTCGTAATCAAATAGGCAGCCCATGCAGATGGAATAGAAATGGAGCAATAGGAGTCTCAGCATACAAAAAAGAAAAAAGTTTAAAAAATAAATTTCTTTCCCTCTGCAGTACAGAAAGCAGCGGCTGTTGCAATATCTTCCCTCTGATGTTATACCTGCTGCTTACTACTAGCTAAAATTTATTTAGAAGCCACAGTATATTAGGCACCCACACTTACTCATTTTGGCACCAGCCTTGTTACAAGATTTTTATCAAGATTCCTTCAGCCGACAACTATAAACGTTTGCCTCTGTTTAGCTTAATAGATAACCGCTGTAAATGTCTGCCTTTGTTTAGCTTCATGGCTTTTCTCTCTCCCCTCCCCTCTTGCCTAAACCTTTCTCTTAGCTGAGGCTGAAGGAATGCATTGGCTTTGACGGCTTCTGCTATGTGTCATTTTCTTGCCCTCACCACATTGCCTCTTTCACTTGACTGGAGCAAGTGCCTTGGGTATTGTGCATAGTCTTTTGTGCTGTCATTCTCTTCACCATATAAACATATCAAAAGTTAAATCCTATCAGCATTAAAGAAAACAAAAACAGGATAAGCCATTTCCAATGGCAGGATAAGTGCGCCAGAAAATTGGAGGTCATTAACATGTGCTATGACCACCAGAAAGAAAGACCATAAAGAAAGTTGATGCTTTTGAATTATGGTGCTGTAGGAGACTCTTGAGAGTCCCATGGACTGCAAGAAGATCAAACCTATCAATTCTGAAGGAAATCAGCCCTGAGTTTTCACTGGAAGGACAGATCCTGAAGCCGAGGCTCCAATACTTTGGCCACCTCATGAGAAGAAAAGACTCCCTGGAAAAGACCCTGATGGTGGGAAAGATTGAGGGCACAAGGAGAAGGGGACGACAGAGGACGAAATGGTTGGACAGTGTTCTCGAAGCTACCAGCATGAGTTTGACCAAACTGCGGGAGGCTGTGGAAGACAGGGGTGCCTGGTGTGCTCTGGTCCATGGGGTCACGAAGAGTCGGACATGACTAAATGACTAAACAACAACAACAACAACGACCACCAGATCTGTGTGATTCAGTTCACAGTGCTTATATATATTATACCTGTGATCCTTATCATAGGGCCACGATGCCTGTCTCAAGTCCCCCACTCACTCTAATGTTGTTGCACTTCAACTCCCATCAGCCACAGCCAGTGTGGCTTTTGGTCAAGGTAATGGTGGGAGTTGGAGTCCAACAACATCTGGAGAGCTACAGGTTGCCCATCCCTGGCATAAAATATCCATCATATTTATGAAGCCTTGTTTCTAGGAACATAGCAAATCATACTGAGTCTGACCATTGATCCATCAAGCTTGGTATTGTCTGCACCAATGGCAGCAGATCTAAAGGGTTTCAGGCTAGAGTCTCTCCCAGTCTTACCTGAAGATGTTAGGATTGAACTTGGGACATTTTGATACTCCCACATAAGCTCCTATCGTTTTGCTTAGTAGCTATGTTTCATGAAATGATTCTTCGGATTCTAGCATAATAACTTTCCATCTAGAGTTGCAGTAAAGTGCCTCTGTGCTTTGGGGCTGTATGGAGCCCCCCCAAAATAAGTATGGGTTCTACATGACTAAGGGATTCCTTAAGGATATCATGGGATATCCTTATTTTTTTTTTCAAATTTAAAAAGAAGTAAGGATAATACTACCCAAACATTGGCTGATAAGGACCAGGACCTTTGAGGTTGGGAGCATAAAGGTAAGAACATTTTGGAGCACCTCATCTCTCTGTCTGGAGAGGGAGCTTCCAGGCTGAACACCAAGAGAAACTCCTCTCTGTTTGACAGGAGCAGACACTTCTATCCAATCACAGCTAGAATCATGCTAGAATCTTGGATTTCTCTATTGCTTTTTATGGGTAGCTGTCACTTCCATTGTGGCAGTGACAAAGTAGCTTGGCAGACTCTGTGATTGACTGAGAACAGCTGAGACATGAAGTGTTAGGATATTGGTTGGAACAAACCAGAGTAATAAAGGACATGTAAGAGAGCAGCTGAGACAATGAAGTTTGGGTCCTGTGATAACTTAAACTTCATGGCAGTAAAGGTTCCCATTGTCTCCTCCCACCTGCAGCCACCTGCCGGCTGGTTGAATTTTGCTTAAAGGCCTTTCCACCTTGCTGCAACAGAAAGTTGGGACAGTGTTAAGAACTGTGTGGCTGCAGGTAAAGGTAAATCACCCCTGGAGGATTAAGTAGCTATTTATCTACTTGCTTTGATAAGCTTTTGAACCGCTAGGTTGGCAGAAGCTGGGACAGAGCAATGGGAGCTCACCCCGTTGTTCGGATTCAAATTGCCAACCTTGTGATCGGCAAGCCCAAGAGGCTTGGTGGTTTAGACCACATCACCACCCGTGTCCCATGTAGCTGCAGAGACTATTGGTGCTAATGACTTGAGGGCTCCCAGATCTCAAGAACCATCTATTTTGTATGGGCATGGTGTGAGGTGGCAGGGTTCTGTCACTGGGCCAATCCCCAAAGGGGTGACTAAAGTCTTGCTTAAAATGACAATGAGCCTGAAATCCCATGTAACAAGTTGCAGCAGCATAAGTTCTCAAGTGGCCTACAGGTACATTTTCATGTCCAAAGGGATCCTTATAGGTTCTTCTTCATGTCCGTTGATGGAGGGAGAAAACATAACAGAGTGAAAATAGTTGTTTAGTTATTCCTGCTTGATTTTTTTTAAAAAGTATTTGAGAGGTAGGAGGGAGCATGCAAAAGGACATTACTTATATCCGGTGATCTCCATTTTCTCAGACAAAGGGATCATTTCACTTACTGATTTATTGTGTTCCGTGAACTCTTCGTCAGATCCAAATTAGGACTTGTAACATGCAATTTTCTCCTCCATTGCTTTTGATTGTCTTCTTGAAAAGTCTCTTTACACCGGATAGGTTTTTCCACAGCTTTGTATATTCATGTCTTTATTACAGAAATATATTTTTATTACGCAGAAAGCAGAGATGCACAGGTTTCTCAAATCATTCCTGAGCTCAAGAGATACAGAAGCCTTAGGCAGGAGGCGGAGCCCTTACACTGGATCTGTGTTGTGGAAGGGTGAGGTAGCAATTCCATTCAGATTGCCTTTAAAGGCAAACCTCCCCTATTTGCACTTTCTGAAACAATAAATGAACCAAAACACAGCTATCCACCAGAATTTCACAAGGCGGTGCTCCAACCAAAAAAATGTGTATTAACATGCATATCTTGTTTTTATTTTATTCACTTAAATATTTATACATCACACTTTCATATAAGGTATAAAAAATCTGGGTTCAACTCAAAAACACAACCTTACAGTAACACCAGTAAAAACAATCAATAATAAAAATTGGCTGGTAGAAGATTTCCACAGGCCAGTCCAAACAATGCAGTTTTGAAAAGACATTGAGAAGAAAGCAAGAATGACTCCCATTGAACTTCTGTTGGCAAGGAGTTCCACAGGGCAGGACCTGCCCCCCTGATGACTTAGTTTCTCATAAAAGCCAAACAAATCTCAGAGGTATGGAGGACCACCAAAAGTGCCCCATGAGAAGATCTCAGTGGCCGAGGTGGAGCACAAGGAATGAGAGAAAGTGTACATGAAAATACATAGTGAAAATAACACAAACTGCATTATATTTAGTCAAATTTACATACAAAAATGTGCATATTAAGAAAAATGTACACCAAAATGCTAATGAATTTATAAAACAATTTTTGTTGACTGAACAATCACCTCATTCTTTACAAAGTATTTGTCTGGGGATGAGATTACAGATAATAGTAACTTCAACATGGAGACTTTATAGTTCTCCCTAGCCTAGAGAGTTGAAGTTACGTAGTTTGAAGGAAGTACTACCATTTGTGGTAAGAACAAGTGTTCTATGTGGGGCTAACTTCGGGGTTCATTTGGCAGTGCAGAATGTGGCGGACCAGTTGCTCAAGGTGGCAGACTCCCGTCAGTATGCAACACCCTACTGTCAGGATTTGCCCTGGCTGCCATTCTGCTACCAGACCAAGTTCAAGGTGGTAGTATAACATATAAGGCCCTGCACCACTCAGGATCAGGTTACTTGAGAGACCACTTCATCCCTTATGCACCTAGTAGGTTGCTGCAGTTTGCAGGAGAGTTTCTCCTGCAAGTTGTTATTGTTATTAGCTTTTATTGGCATAAGTTTAAACAATAAAATCATACAAAGTCATCCAAATACATTAATACTCCAAACTCATGCAATATATAACAGTCTAGAGTTCCAAAGTTCCAAAGATTTCAGATGCCTACTCTGCAGACTTTTAGTGTTCCTGTTGATACATGACAGGTGCCCACTACCTGCACTTTCTGGAAGGAACTGGAGACATTTTGGTTCCAATGGGCTTTTCCAGGTAGATAAATGGCTCCTTGCCCCATGTGTGTCTATTTTGTATAGTTGTAGTTTTAAATGTATCTGGGTTTTGCTTGTAGCATTTTAAACTGTATTTAAACTATTTCCTCCTTTTTAAAATTGTACATCACCCTAGAGAATTGTATAGAAAGCAATCAATAAATCAATAATAAATACAAAAACAAAACTCATTCCACTTTCTGCTGTATTGATTTAGTGAATCAAAAGGAATGCTATGTGCATGCACCATAGGAGGTTAGCGTAGGGTTGCCATATTTCAAAAAGTAAAAATCAGGACACACACAAAATGAAGTTTTTCAGCTATTTTGGGGGGAATTTGCCCAAAAAATCAACACTTCTGATATTGGCTGCCATACACCCGGGTTTTCCCCGACATTTTAACCGATTGCTAAAAATTCCGCCTGGATGCCAGTTTTGACGGATGAATCCTGGCTATGTCCTGGAAATTCCAGACATATGCCAGCCCTAAGTTATCGCCCTCCATTTCTACTTTTAACTGTTGCCATTCACTCTGCTTTCTAGTTAGCAGATGGTCCATTTTTTAGCCTAAACATCTGTCAAACACTAGACCAGTCTCTCCCAACCTTAGATGTTTTGGACTACAACCCCCAAGTGAGTCAAAGTGCCCTTTGCTAAACACATTTCATGTTCTCCTTATCTATTGATTACAAAACTATCTTGTAGCTCTTATGGTAAAGATGAGAGATATTTAAATACATATGCATCTCTCTCTCTCCCCCCTCGCCCCAGTATTGCTGTTGGCCCCTGTGAAGGTGTGGTGAAATATATTTACAGGAACTTTCATTTCAGTATGATATGTCTATACCTGTACCCACTTTAAGCACACAAGTTTCAGCTAAGTGGAATATTTCTATTCCAATAAATTCATTGCGGTCTTTACATGCTGTGCCAGGAATGGCATTTGAAAGGGCAGGAGAAATGCTTTTGAAAATGTAGATTTCAGTCAACTGACTTTTAAAATGTACCTTTTCATATTATCTGTTGTCATATTACTTTTTAATGGGTAATAAATAGGGGCATAAATTTTGTTGTCAGGCAGTGACAGGAAAGTGATGGGGGAAATAAGATGAAATACAGTATTTAGCTTTCTGCATAAGTGTTTGACAGTAGCCCTGGCTTTGTGCTTAGAAGTGCGCTCAAGGTGTCTAGTTTATAAGACCACTCTTAAAGGATGGATTGGTCCTTCTTAGATTAGAAATGACACAGTGGGAGACATACTATTAGGGCAAAGAAGCAGTGGACCTATCTACACTGCCAGTCCCTGTCCAAACCAGATCACTGTTCTGTTTCTCCTCTCCTCTCCCTGGAGCTCCTCTCCACTGTTCTGTTTCTTAAAGAGAAAGAAAGGGAAGGGAATATCCCTTTGTGCCTGCTACAGATTCACTGTTTGAGCTAAGGCTGGAATTGTAGGGGAAATGGCATAGTCTGGGATAATTTTTATGTATGTAGATCACCCCATGGCTCATTGGTTCCCTAAAACCCTAAAAGTTTGCCATATGAACCAATCCAGACTTGCAACCATCATCTGAGGCCCTTCTTTGTGAGAGGTCTAGAGGGCAAAAACACAAGAACAGGCCTTCTTGTGTGGGGACTCCCCATTTGTGGAATACTCTTGCCTGGTGTCATCATTACATATATTTAGGCACCAGGCAAAACTTTCCTCTATATCCAAGCCTGTGGCCTTTTAGAAGTGGGCAGGATGTTTTCAATGTCCTGCACCCTTGGTTTTAATGTATTTATGGACGGTTTTGTTTTGTTTGCTGGAAGTCGCTTTGATTTGCCTTGGGCAAAATAAACTGACTAATAAATTTAATAAATGATAAAAAATATAATTGGATGCGGTAAGTAGGTAGTTGCTTCTACGGTTCTTTTGCAGCTCTCCTAACCTTTCTTTTTTGGGGTTTGATTCTGATCTGTAGCAGACCCAATGCTTTGTATTTGCATTCTTGAAAACACCCACACACACCCACACACACCCACACCCCAAGCCCTTTCAGATATTCTGAGTTGATTTTATTATTTGTTGTTCTCTGCTTTCAGTACAATGTAGGGACTCCCCTTCTTTTCACACCCAGAGAGATGCATGAGATAGCTGCTGAATAGCAAACATTTCATTTAAAAGCTAATGGATCTGAAATTTCCCAGCAAACCTACATGTGTGCGTGCATTTGTTCTACAGCATCTTTTATTTTGTCATTTGCAATAAATGGAGGGAAACCAATTACTAGCCGGAATGTAAGGTTCGTTCTCAGAAATGGTGCAGAATGCTACATCAACATTGTGATGTAGGTATGAACCCACAGCATAGTTGGGAGATCAAACATCTCATGGGAACTAGGCAATAATGACATTTGATAACACAAGCATTCGCTTTTACTATCAATGCTGGCATGATCCTATTATAGTTACAGATACTCTGGCTCGTCTATGTCTCTAAACATAACAGGTAGTATTATACGTTGATTCCTAAGAACAAGGAGGGCTCATAAAACAGAATTTCCCATGTCTTCCTTTCTGTTGTATTTTCCTGTGGGGATCCCTGGAAATGCTGTTGGCTGTAGCATGTGGGTAAAGCTGGAGTGGGGAATTAGCAAAAATCAGGAGCTGTTTCCTGGCGCAAGAGAAAGTGTCCTCTGCTTAAGCAAGCAGCCATTGTAAATTAGACCTACTGTGGTCCCAAATTCTGGGACATCACCATTGCAGAGAAGCTTACACATAAAATCCATGTCATTAAGGGACAAGCCGAACAGGATGCCTTTCTTTTGCAGAATGGAATATTTATCTTTTTCATGTAATACTGGCAGTACAAGGGCCAGTCCAAAATGCAACAATTTAGAAAAATAATTCATGATTTAAGTGTCTAGGGAAGGATAATCAGTTCACACTAACGAAGCCTTATGCCCTTCTGTCTGACAAATCTGATTTGTCAGATTTTTAAAACACACACATGCCAAACACTGGATGGGGGTCTAAATCTCTGCTTGTTGTGCAATGACTGCATTACCTAAGGGTTCCCTTCGGCATGGGGCTAATATGGTGCAAATATGGATACATTTTTATTAAAGCAAAATAAAAAATGGCTTTCACACTTGAGGTGTATATTTTTGTGATTAAATCAGTAAACGGTTTTAAATATTGTGTTTTAATGTTGTAACCCACTCAAGGTGGGTGGGTAACAAACAAAGGGTGGGTAACAAACAAACCAACAACTGCAAGAGAGTTACACGTGTGCAGTTAAGGGCCAAATTGTAAATGACAACTTTATGTCAAGGGTTCCCAAGCTCTGGTCCATAAACCACTTGTGGTCTGCAAGTTTCATTCAGATGGTCCATGGCATGTCTGCATTAAATATTCACATTGATTTTTAACAGTATTTTTATTTCTTATATTGGATTTTATTGTAGCAAACTTCAAAATCTATAGAATGCAAATTGTAATACAATAAATACAATATAAGAAGTAAAAGAAGCAAAAAATACAATTAAAAATAATACAGCATCTTTCACAGTGCAATACAATTGCTAATGCGGGCAGAAAAATAATTAAGTGGTCTGCTACAACCACCAGCAATTTTCAAGTAGTCTGTGTGGTCTAACATTCCAGCATTGCACTTTATGTAAGAAATTTTTACATCTGCATTGAAATTTTTTTTACATCTGCATTGAAAAAGTTATTTTTTAAAAAATAAGCAATACTTTGATAGTCCTTTCCTAAGATGTAAATAACTATGCCTTGAATTGCATAATATTTTGTTTTTTGCAATTTCACTTGCGTTATACATTAACATTTTAGTTCCATTCCCTGTATTCCTTGAAAGCATTAATGTGTCTAAGAATGAATATGATACTGTGGTAATTTGCTGTAGTGTGGGAGTTTAAAGAGCTCCAATATGTAGTATAATAAAACAGATTCTGCATGTGTTTTCATTACCCAAATTGGTTCTGTCTTCCAGCTGAAATCTCGTGTTCTAATGACTCCTTTAGCGATTTCCCCACCAAGAAGCACCCCGGAACCTGATATTAGCTCAATCCCTCAGGATGCAGCTACAATCCCCAACTCAGCAGCCCCACAAGCCCTCACAGGTATGTGAAACGAAACAGTCCATCAGAAAAGGAGTATTCATTTATGGATTTATTTAAAGGATTTCTAACCTGCTCTTCAACCAGATCTCAGGGAATAGAGGGGGATTCAATTCACTTCACTTTCCAATATAATATGTGAACTAAAAGGTGGCTGTGTTCTCAATTTGCACCTCTGCAAATTCTGTGCTGCAGTGCTTCAATCAAAATAATGTACCATAATGTGTGGTATTAGGGGAAAACGTGCACTACAATATGCATTTTGGTGAAAATAACATACAAAGATGCATTCAATTGGGGAAAATTGATTCTAAAAATGTACATATTAGGATAAAGTGCATGCAAAATACTCAGTTTAGGTATGATAAGGATACAACCCTCCCTCCATCAAAACTATTTTATTGAACTTTAAAAACCCACTATCCTATACATGTTTTGAGCTGTACTGTTCATCAGTGATTCTTGTTTAAGTAAAGCAAATATTTGAACTCCAAAGACAAGTTATCAGTTGTTTGCTGGAGATCTATCCAGATTTCTTCTTCATTCTCTTTATATTCTCAATTTTGTTTCCGGCTACCATGTCTGTACGTGATAGAAAATCAACTGCACACACATAAACAAAGCACACCCCAGCTCTGCCTTAAGAAACACTGTCACTCATCGGTAGGAAGCAAAAATCTGTGCTGTTTTGTATTAATAAATCTGTCATCAGATCTCCGTAATGCAGTTCATGTCCTTCGTTCGTGCTTGTAATGGTTTCTCCTGTTTGTTTGTATGGCCTTTTGATGGCTTGAAGTGCTATGTAATGCTAACTATTATTGCCATTATAGTCCTATTTACCCAGAATAGATTGCTTTGAGTCTTTTTATTGTTCAGCCTGAGTGGCTGTTAACACTTCAAGCACTAGATTTTCATTATGGTGTGATACTAACTGTATATTATCCCCAATACTGCTCAGCCATCATCCACATCCTTCGCTCTGTTATAATTTCTTTTGTCACCTATCTGATTTCTGTCACAGGGTAATGCTATATGTTCTGAAAGATGACAACTCTAGCACGCTTGCAGCCAGCAATAACAATGTGTCTTACTTTAGGCTGACTCACACAATCCTATAAAATAAGCACGCATGCCAGAAAGACTGGAACCTCTGCTATCCCTTAAAACAGGAAGGTTCCGGTATGTAAAATGTTAACAGGGATTCTCATGCTACAGAGGCCTAATCGTCTTATAAACCATGTTATTAATCCGTGCAACAATATGTAAAAGCTGGGTTGTCCTTTTAGCCTCAACATTGTCCTCTATTGAACATTTAAGTACAAGGAGAAGAGATAAAATATATGTTGATAGATTTCAGCATAAGTATCAAAGATTGGTTTTCTTTTTCCTGAGTAGTTCATTTTAGTGGCCTCTTAATTAACTAATTAACTAACTAAAAGGTTTTTGGGCTGCTTTATTCAACAATGTCCTCTCAAGGTGGCTTACATACCTAATTCAATAAATCACAAGCGACAATAAAATAATATAATTGCAACACACCACAAATTAAACCTCTTAAAAGTACAGACCCGTAGGATGAGATGCAATATAGTTTGAGGTTTGCACTTATGCCGTTGGGCTTTCCGTTCTGCTCCCTGCATGCCCCAAAACATTGGTGCAGGGCATCCTCCAGAGAAGATATTGAGGTCACATGGGGAGGGGAGCTGGGGGGAGGGAAACTGAAGGTTAACTGTGTGCAAGCTGGAGAACATCGTTGAATATTGCCTATATCCTTAAAGCACTTTATGGGAGAAAGCTTTTGTGCTTTCTTACAAGAAGATTTCTCATATACTAGAAATGAGGTGTACCACTACCACAACATGAAATATGACTTTTCAAGTTAGTTAAAAAAACACCAAATAAACTTCTTTTATTAGTAAACGGCCTTTCATCAATAAATTCAGTTTTGTATTGTGCAAATGACAGTATTCTCTAACCATATTCTTATCTGTAGACCACTGCATTAATTTCTCCCCATTTCAAATGCTTGCCTTACAACACAGTCCTATGCCTACTTAGTAACAGGTTCAGAGGGGCTTATTCCCAGGAAAGAGGGTTTAGCACTGCAGTCTGAATTATATGTCCAGTGAACAGCGGATATCATGATGAAATATAGTGCACACGGAACCTTCAGCCTGTTAATTAATTCCTTACGGTTTGCTATCTCTTCTCAGAACACAGCTTAGGTCAATTTCTGTTTCCTTCACTCTCAGATAAGAGGTTTTTTAAAAAGTGGATTTATGGATTTCAGAGAAATCTGCCATGCAGAACTGTGCAAACTCTTCTTTCTTGAGAATGTAAACTTTAAAATTAGCCTTGAAACAACTTCTGCACAGACATTGGGAGCAAACATTAAATATACTGAAATTATCAGTGAAATTATCCAGCATAGGGTTACACAAATACTGGTAGGCTTAATTCTCAATAGTTGGGGGGTCCCTGGAGTTCAGCAGGAAATATGCTTAGCCCTCCCCTTCAATGGTTTCTTTGCCACTTTATTTTCTCCTGTAAATGAACACTTGGCATTCACTCCTGTGGATTAAAGTTCAGTGTTGCAGGAAGATTAAAACTCTTAAAAACATTTGTTTGTTTTTTTGTTTTCAAAAAAAGGTTGAACAAATGTCACAATTACTTGTAATGCATTCTGTACTGATTGTTCTAAATGTGTACCTTTTAATACATAAAACTTCTGTCTAAAATACAAACCTGGGAGTGAAGCACCACAGGTGTACATAGGGTGCCTCATGGTCTTTATAGTCAGCACCTAGCATCTTAAGCAGCTGGAGGGGGGTCCCATGCCCAAGAAGGACCAACCTCTAAACCAGCCTCTCCCCTCTCCCATAAAGCTGGTTCTGTGACCCACCTGCTATTTTAATTCCCTACAGTGTCTCAGAACAACTCTATGTCAATAGTACTGTGGGTAAAGTGCTGGGCAGCTAGCAATCACCTACCAGAGATATAAAATATTACTACCAGAAGGTAAGTGCAATGGGAGCCCCCACAAGAAGGGGGCGTCTCAAACCCGAGCTAGCCCTGGATCCAAACCACTATCTTGTCCTATTATTAGAAGCAGATAAAATGGCAATTCAAAAGCTGTTTGCCTTTGCTCAAATCAGTGCTGCCAGACCAAAAATAGGTTTCATTTTCTTATGGGTTTTTTTCCTGGGACAACTAGTGGAAGCCAACCAGAGTGGCTAGGGCAACCCAGTCAGATGGACGGGGCACAAATAATAAAATTATTATTAGTCAGGTCCTCCATCATGGAGGGCACGTGTTGTGGTGAGATCACCAGAAACTGCTTCCCTGTTGTGGGGCAGGACCATTTGGATGGCCACAACACTCCATTGGTTGCCCCTCTGTTGCTGGGGCAGAAATTTGGTCAGTTGGGTTGGGTATTGGCTGCTGAGGAGCTACTTAAGCTGCTTCACATCGCTGGAGAGTTTCACTTTCTTGCAACATGCAGTGGATCACCCGCCCTCCTCTCCCTATATGTAGGGTTGTTCTTATGGCCTTGCTATCCCTGTCTAGGGGTCATCTGTTTTGGAGCAGGGGCCCGGTAGGAATTTTGCCATTTGGCTGATTGGTTGGTGGCACTTGGTTTTTGCATACTGTGTAGCAAATCGTCACAACTTTGTAAGGTTGGCGGTTAGGCATTTGGTTCAATGTTTTGGTTGGCTGTGCCTGCCCCTCCATTGCTGCTAGGGAATCCAGGGGCTTAAAGAAACCCAGGGGCTTGCCTTGCTTTTGTCTGAACCCTGTCAAGGGGCTAGGGCCATGCCAGAGCCCCTGGGAGCATCTGGGGTGAGCTGTAAGATCGAAGGAGTTCTCACTCTCCCAGGATGCTTTCCCTTACTGCTATCTGGTGGCGCCCAGTGTCAGTCCTGTTCCTGCCACCGTGCAGGTTCAGGTAGTCTGGAACCAATACCCAAGCAACCACTCACATGCTGTAATCAATAAAGTTGTAGCCAAAATTTAATGCCAAAAACCTTAAACTAAAATCTGTGTCTATTGTGTCTTCATTTGGGGGTGGTTTTGGGGGTCTTCACACGTTGTTGTTGTTGTTGTTGTTGTTACAGTGACATCTTTCTCCTTTTGTTTAGTCTGCATTTATGTCAACAAGCAAGCAAATGTGGGGCCATACCTTGAACGAAAGAAAGTGCAGCAACTTCCAGACCACTTTGGACCTGAGCGGCCTTCGATGGTGCTACAGCAGGCAGTTCAGGCATGCATTGACTGTGCACACCAGCAAAAGACCGTCTTCTCACTTGTCAAGCAGGGCTACGGAGGTGAAATGGTGTCAGGTGAGAATGTATGTTGTGTTTAGGGTAGCCATATGTCTTCTTTTTCCAGGGCACATCCTCTTTTTTCACTGGTATGTAAAATGAGAGTCGTTATAACGATCCAGAGTTAAAAGTAGAAATTGGCAAATGTGTCCTCTTTTTCGTTCTTCAAAATATGGCAACTCTAGTTATGTTACATTTGTCTCTGTACTTAGAAGCAGTCTTTTGTCTAATTCCAGCTGATAAAAATGAGTGATTAAAGGGATTCACTTTAGATGATGGATTACAATCTGTTTTGTACTCTTCCACGCAACCTTTTTTGAGCATGAGCTGGTCTTCAAACATGAAATACATAATAGTTTTCTAAGCATGCACCAAGCATTCTATGTTGCATTCTTCAAAGTGGACTGTATGGCTCCCTTGGAATTCTGTTCCTTCCCTGTGTCTGTGAGGGGGGAAGCATTTGCCACACCCTCCACCCCTGCAAGAAGAGGAGAGATGGAGTCTGCTGCAGGGGTAACGTGGGCAACCAAATGGGGTGATTTTCCCTGTAGGGGAAAAGTGGAGATCCAGCAATTTAAGCCAGTTCCACCCTGCACTCTTCCCTCTTCTCATTGAGGGGACTGAGAAGGATTTTTTGGGGAGAAACTAATTGGCCTGTGTCACATCTTTTTCTTCTGCTTCACACTTTTGGTTGTTGTCTGAATATGGCTAATTGGCATTTGTTCCAGGTTGATGAGTGGATTTTGGGGGGAAATCCAACTAATATCAGAGACAGAGTGGTGTTTGGGCCTGTCAGGTGCATTGGGGTGAACACTGGCCAATGGGGCCTTGGTGCACATGTCCGGTTCCTATACCCAAGGAGCGTGCAGCAAGGCGGGAGGAGTTTCCTTGGGCCTTGCTGCTGGATCACAGCATGTAGCTGGCAGCTGGCTCAGGAGATGGGGGAGCTGAAATCCTCCCCTTAATCTGCACCAACATCCAGACTTCATTGGTTTTGGTTAATTTGATCGAATTATTCTGCTTGGCATTGCACTTTGCATTTGGTGATGGTTGAAGGGGTGGCACTAGATTTAAACTTGAAATGCATAATTGTTTCCCAGATGTATCAAATTTCATTCCAATATTTTAATGTTCAATGGAGCTGTTGCATTAAAAGCAAGAAGAGAAGCAAATGGAATGCTGAGTGGTAAATTACAAACTAATGGTGTTACTTTGATCCACCGGTAAGGTTACTTGCACGTAACAATTTATTGTTGTCTCGGTGCTGTTCATGCATGCAACATTTTCATAGTGACCATAAGAAGTCCTCTTCAAAATGCCACCTCATATTCCACCCACCCAATATAATATACTTTTACTGTTACTATGGGTTATTTAGTTATGTATTGGATTTTCTGCATAAATGGTAATTCGAAATTAAATCAGAAAATAATACAGGGTGGAATTGTTATGAGGATGAGGTTGCGTGGATGCTGCACAAAGGTTGAGTGCATGAGCAGTACCAAGTCGGCAGTCAGCTGCCATATGGAAGTATCCTTAGGGCACAGTCACTTCCTCATATTGTGAGGCAGGACCTCCACAAGAAGTTATGGATGTGCTCAGGCTCCTTCCTGGCTCCTTTCCAAGCCATGTGTGTCTTGCTTTGACAAGTAGGTGAAGTGATTGCTTGAATGACTAAGTAGAGTAAGTAAATGAGCATCAATTACTGCTGTTCTGAATCATTGTTCTTGCAAGGTAATTGTCGCACACTGTATGTTTTTGTATTTAACGTCCATCTGATGAGGATGTCACCGGGGATGGGGAAACTGCAGTCCTCCAGATCTTGCTGGACTCCTGCTTCCATCTACCCCAGCCATTATGGCCATTGGTCAGGGAGGATGGGCGTTACAGTTTGATAATAACTGGAGGGCCACAGGTGCCCCAGCCCTGCTCTATACTCATATGTATCTGCCAACTGAGGATAGACTCTAGTCAATCAAAGTTTGTGCTGTAATAAACTTGCCAGTCCTCAATGTGCCACAAGACTCTTGTCTTGGACCTCCTGGAGAATGCTGATAGTTTCTGTGAGGAGGATAGAGAGAGAAATAATGGAAATGTTTAAGCCTCTAAGTTAGCTGACTCAAACGTTTACAAGATTTTTGCTTTGTTTTCGTTTTTAAGCTATGTAATAGTTACTTGGAAATTAGGCATTAACATTTTTAGCTGAATTTACTAAGGAAAAGGTGAAGAACAAATACACGTTAAGAACTATTTAGTTCCCTGAAAGTGGATGTAGATAAAACATGTTTGGCAGTGATCACCACACCATTGCTGCCGCATCCTTGGGACCCTCCTCCATGCTGTGCAACCCTGAGCTTTATCCTGCTGTGCAACATTTAATTATATTCTGTCTCCACTTTCATTTCCCCCCGAGGCACTCTGATCCCAGTTTGCATCCTTGTTGAAAGAAACAAAAAGCTACACATGTTTGAGAAATTATTTCAGCTTGTTCCTGAAAGCATGCCAATCAGTTGTGTCCAATAAAGTCCATTATTTCTTCTTGTATGGATATGATTAAATTCCTATTAACATTAATGAGATGATAGCCTTATGGGCTCAGGCTGTAATTCATTTGACTTCGGTCCTCTGAATAAACTCAAACTGAAGCACTAAAGCTGAAAGATAAGTATATTTGTTGAGATCATTGGCTGGTTCTCTGCTAGAAGTAAAAGGCAAAGCTCAAAAGCTACCAGTGCAAATCCTAGCCGAAGAGATGTTAGTAAACTTCCAGCACAACTTCCCAGCAGGTCTAAATGGACGTGATGGACTTCTATAGATCTACATCACTACGTGGCACATGCCAAAAGCAGCTTGCACAGTGGGGGGAAGCTGTGGCCGACTCTCTGTGGTGCCCTGTGTGATGCTAAAACTGGGTGCCCCCGCCTCTCACACTCCATTTTACAGCATAGAATGTGCTCCCCTAAAACCACCTCTGTGGGAAGCTGCAATGCATACCAGGAGAGTCAATGTGGCGGGGAGGTTGAGATGATGGGGATGCATGGGCAGGAGTGCCAGATTGGCTCTGCTAGCGCACCCAAATTGCACCAACCTCTCCTCCCCCTCCCCCTGCTGCCGGCAAGCTAGTATTGTGCACGTTCCCCACTGGACACGTTTCTTCTGGCAGTGGGAATGCTGGGGCAGAAGGCAAGGAGGCCAACAGCAGGTGGCACCAGAGCCACTGACAGGTAGAGCCAACTAACGATAGCTTGGTCCCCATAATCTTCCCTGCTGAGTGCTACAAGGGCAACAATAAAACCTAGGAGGATAAAGCTGGCAGGCAATGTCACACCCCTGGACTGCTTGTAAGTAAAAAGGCATGTGGGGTGAGGGGCTGGCTGAGGAGAGAGCTCCATTTGCCCATGTGGACCAGCCTTCACTGGCTTCTGGCGCAAGCTTTATCTATGGTACTTTAAAAAAAAATGTTGGTCCCCATTCAGGCTTTGGGCCAATCTGTTGAATGTATACCATGGATCAGTTGGCACAACCATTTTTCATGCTATTTTCTCCAGTCCGTTGCAAAATTTTCCACTTTACAGATCCATATAGTTATCTATTTATTTCTTAAAATAACACAACATGGTATTGCTAAGTCTGTTTTAATAATATTTATGTGATTTTAATTGTTTTGTTTGCTTGTTTTTTACTTTGGTGGCAAATCACTTAGGAACTTCTTTAGTGGGAAGCAATGCATAAACTGAATAAACCTGAAACAAAATTGAAACCTCAGCCTAAATATGTATGCTACCTCTTTGCAAAGGTTCCAGTTAATGGTGCCACTACAAATTATTTAAAAAGACAATTAGAAGTGACATGCTCTTTTGTCATTTGTAAAGTATATGTCACCATAGATTGGGGTTAGGGTGGGTAGAAATTTCACCAAAGTAGTGAATTGGTCCTGCGATCTAGGATTCAGAGTACAGCTTTCATCAGAGTCTGGTGATTTGATTTTTAGCTTAGCACAAAGAGATGAAGTAACAGAGAAGTTTGTGTATGGATTTGAAGGTAATCCACATTGTGACTCTGGAAGAGCGATTCAGACTCTTCCCTTTCTGTGAAATATTTAAAGCAACAAAAATCAATGATACTCTGTAGTACTTTCATCCTTCTTGTATTTATTTAGTGAATGGCCTAAAGAGGTCACAGTATCAGCATTTGCTCAAAAGATGTGTGGCTTGTAAAAAAGAGAATGTGTGCTCTGTTAAGAGAACCATCTGTTTTATGAAAGAAACTACTGCTTATATTGGAGAATCTCCTAATTCCTCCTCATTTCTCCCCCAGTTTCTGCTTCTTTTGATGGAAAACAGCACCTCTTGAGCCTGCCAGTAGTGAACAGCATTGGTTATGTTTTGCGGTTCCTCAAAAAGCTTTGCCGTAGCTTATTGTGTGACAATCTTTTCAGCAATCAACCTTTCCCACAATACAACACTGCCGAAAACCCTGAAGAATATGAAAATGGACGGATGGAATCAGGTCAGTTGGTTTTTTATGACTTTTGAATATGTATTTGAAGAAATCCATGTCTGTGTGTTGGACTACCATTTTCAAGGGAGAATCAGGGACAACAGGTTCTTAACCCTTCTCACACGTTAACTCTTCCTCACAAATTCCTGCTTATTCTTTCTTCACAGCAAATACTGCTTTCCCTCCCAACCACACCTCTTCTGATCTTAGAGCCCAGCTGAGGGGAAACAGTTTTAAACAGAAAGAGAGATCTGCAGGAGAGAAACAGCAAGTGTGTGGAGGGTTCAAATCTCCTATCCACCTACTATGTCCAGCAAATTCTTGCCTCCTAATCCACATTAGTGTTATGGGGAAAACACAACACGCGGAGGCCAATTTTTCTCTTGTAGTGTTTAGTTTCCCTCTACCTTTGTGAGATCTTGGAGAGACACACAGATTTATTAGTCTGACAGGTATTATATTTGCATTAGAAGTGGATATTATACCACTTAACTGTACACACATGACACTTTGATGTATCCTGAATCTTGGACAGTAAGTCCAGCCTCCTTTTGCAAAGACGAAAACATGCTTTTTGTCTCTTGCTGTATGAATTTGGAGGACTGTTCTTTCAAGTCACACTGTCACAGTTATGCCCAACTGATACAAGCTGGGAGGGTGGAGTGTTTTGAGAGCTAAGCTTTGTAATGTCATTTGCTATTTTGCTTATGCCATTTAAAGTTTTTATTTTTAGACTATCAAGGACTTTATTAAAACCTTATAATGTTTAGAAAAAATAGACATGTGAGTCTCCTGCCTGATTTCAAAGTGATCTTCTGAAGGGGAGGAGGGAGGCAACATGAGTTCAATATCTCAAAAGCAATAAATGTGTTGTGTTATTCTTACTCTTATTTAGTCCTGTGGCAGACTTGATTTTGCCTTCCCCTGTATAATAACTGCAGTACATGGCTTTGGAACATAGTCAAAATAAATGGCTTTTATGGTTATCAGTAGTCTCGGCTTTGGTTCAGCATTTAATTACCTGCACAAGCCATTTATTGCCTCATATATTCTTCTGCCACGAACATTATCCCTTAAACAATAAATAAAATATTAAGGTCAGATTTAAAGGGGGAATGGGAGATCTGTGCAATGCACTCAACCACAACAAAATTTAATAGAAAACTATTTGCCTGATCTAAAAAGGTTTGTGGAGAAGAGGTCATTATGTTATCTTCGGTGTTTGAAATGAGATGGAATGTGATGATTGTATACATGGATTTTTCATCCCTTTTGACAGCTGAGCTGCAGCCAAAAGGGTTATGGCACTGCCACCTTTACACCCCCAATTCAGACACTGCTTGACAGTGATTCAGTGAAGAGGACATTAGATTAGCATAATATGCCATTTGTAAACATCTACTTTGCACAAAGTAGAAACTGACATTTATTTACTGTACTACGTTCTATTCATGACAGCTGTCTAGTGTACCTGTGGAACAACACTGTGATGCTGCCTGGCAAATTTTCAACCAGGCTGGGTATTTTTCTTGTTAATATCCGACCATGTGTTGGTTTGTTTGCAGCACAAACCATAATCCTTATGGTATAATGCTTACTTTTAGTATTGCAAGTAACTGATCCCCATAGCTCAGGCACACTGGTGGGCTTTAACGTGTGCACATCTAGGGCAGTTCACACTGCTGATAGGGATGGCTTGCAGAAGAAATGTCAGTATCACCCAGCTGGTACAGACTGCTGTGTAGGCTATCATAAATTGGGGCAGGGCATGAGGATGGTGGCTAGATCTGAGCATGAAAGGGGAAGTGGGGATCCTCCTTTTAATGCTGAGCAGGAGTGGCAGCATTACAAAGCAGCAACAGGCAAGTGTGGATCAGTGCTCAAATTATGTGGGGTGGGGAGGTAGGAGGGCCCTTAAAGAAATTCAAAGCCCCAGTCCATGATCCCCTTTCCCAAATTTTATCACAATTCCCTGGAACATCCTGAAACAGTAGCCAAGGGAACTGTCACTCAGGTGAGGCCCCCATAATTCAACAACTGCTATGGTCTCCAGTTCACCTGATGCTTCCAAATTTCTGTTCTGCAGTGTGCCTGTTTAGACAAGCATTCCCCTGATCTTTTGATTTGAAACTCCTGCTTTGAGTTTTGTTTAACTGTTATACTGTTTTAATCGACTTGTTTTTTTAATGTTTTAATTGTGGACGTTTTAATGTAGTTTTTTTACTGTGCATTTTAATTAAAAGTAGCTATTTTTTTATAATTGGTTTTGTTTGCATTATTTTGCTGTTGGCTTTTATTTGTATGTGAACCGCCTTGGTATTTCTTCTTGAAATGGAAGGCAGTATATAAATTATGTGATTATGATTAATAATAATAACATAGGAAGCACACACACATACACAATGAATCATTCATGATGAACAACAGAAAACAAATGTTTCAAGCAAACAAATGAATAATGTTCACAGGGGTCACACCTTGAAGTAATCCTCATTGCACTTGCCCGTGTCAGAGATGTTCATCATACCTGGGTCCCTGTGAGAGAGGCGTTCATCTTGCCCTCTTCCAGGAAACCCATAAGTGTGGAGTGGATACTTGGGAGGAGGAAGTCAATCAAGCTTCCTCTCTTGCTGCTTCTGTGGAATGTACAAAATGGCTCAGGATCTATCTCCACGCATCTGGTGAAAGGTCAAAATAAAGATCTTCCTGTAAAACTATTGCTCCAATCCATTTTTTTTAATGCACCAGTCTGATAATAACAAGGAGTTTGGGGTTGAAGTTTGTTGATTTCAGGGAGTTGGAAGGCCATCTGTTTCAACACATTGCATCCCCTAATAAGAATTTGAAGGTGGCTTCAGAACTGACACAGATGTTAAATCAGTCTCAACATTATGTAAAAAAAAGAAATAAATAAAAGTAGATATTATTTATTGAGGCCGTCTTTGGAATACAGCTTTAAGGCTGTTCTAATCTCTTACAACCGGTAGATGAGCCAATGGCATAGCTCAAACGAAGGGCAGGGCTGTGTGACCATAGGGCTGATAATAGATGGGCCACATCTGGCCACCCCATTATAAGAAAAATATTATAGCACTTTAAAAGGTAGAGGGATGGGGTCATGGGGTGATTTCAGGATGAAATATTATGAGCAATGGGAAGAGAAAGAGAGGCAAATGTGGACCTGAGGAATATTCATGAGAAATATAGCTGAGACAGCATAAATCAGGAAATCCTGCAAAAAATAGTGCAAAATACTGTATTTAAAAATGAAAATATAAGTTGTGGAACATTTGCCCTGGTGTATGGTGGTGGAGAAATCCTACATTAAAGATCTGGATATCCAGTTTGTGAGGTGAGAGTCTAACATCTGTATTGCCTCTGCACATAGCTGATCAAATGTGTGTGGTGAAAACTGAGTCTTGGCAGGTTTTCCTCACCTGGTATCTCCTGCCTTGCATACTTGCCCCACTCCTGATGCCCACATGGGTGCTGCAGGCACAAAACAAATTGTGTGTATACTCAATGTGCATAATCTATGCACCAAAAATTGGAGTACGTGTAGATATTATAGAGTGTAAAGATATTTATACTTATGTCCTTCTCAACTCCCAGGTTCAGAAATGGCTAGTGGTTGTTATTTAAAAATGCCAGCTAGGGAACTGGTAAAAGAATGATGGTAGAAAGTGAGGAGAAGGCAGGACAAGAACAAGGGCCCTTATTCTAGATGGCAGAGAACTCTGTTAAATGGAATTAATGTCTCCCAATTTGCACATCACTCCCTCTTATATTCTTTTGACATCCACAATGATGATCTATACATGAGACTGTAGTATCCCTTTCCACTTACTGGACTCATCATTTTAAGCGAAATAGTGGCTTCCTCACAATTTTCACAAAATATTTTTCATATTAAATCTCCTTCAGCCTCTAAGGCTTACTTTTCCATCTCTAATATTTGTGTACTGCTATGTGTTGTTAACAAAACTAATTAAATCTTGTAATACTGTCACAAATACTGTGTTAGCATTTGATTGAGCTGCTAACAGCTTCTTGTTATGAGTCCTGTGGATTGCAACATTGACCTATGCCAATGTGGGTTTAAGGACCAGTTCAGACACTAACTATCTGAATTTAATAAACAATTATAAGTTAGGCTGAGAACAAACCTTGTGTTGTTGTGTTCCATTCTTGTTCTCCTCCTCTTCTTATGTGTCCACTTTCAGCCCAGCTTCTATCAGGATTTATTAAACCGCAATTCCCCATTATGTACAAGCATAGAAACTCTTTTTTACAAACCAGAATATGAAACTAGGATCAGATTGTGGAGAGTAAGCACTGATTAAACCACAGTTTTCCAGTTCAGATGTAATAGGAAACAAGGGCTTAACAAAACCCAGAATCACTCTCTCATGTTATGCAACAGAAGGGAAATGATGTGAGGGAAGGAGCACATGGACACAAACTTGAATGGAAACTAGCCAATAGAGAACACACAGAGAAACACCAGACTTGTTCTTAAAATCATGGCCTCAATTTAAAAAAACAAACCAACCACATGCATTATATGTAACATTTTGAGAGGAAAGCAGTCAGGGTTTTTTTTTAATCAATTAGCCACATGTACTATTATTATTCTTTTTATTTACACCTTCATGTTGTAAGTACAAGTAAATAGTGGACTTGATGGCCGGTTAACTCCCTGTCTTCTCAAATTGTACTATTTGGCCTGGAGTGTGTTATTAAATATCTGGCACTCCAGGTTTTGATGAACTACAACTCCCATCAGCCTTTTCGCTATGGATGATGGGAATAGTAGTTTGGAAACATCTGGAGGACTCCAGGTTAGCTTCCCCTGCATTAAGCAAATAAGCCTTGTGCTCAAGCCTCACCCCAACACCCTGAATCCATTTGGCCTATATATAAACATCTTTAAAATCATATACTTTCTGTAACTGCATAAAATCATTCTTCAGCAAACCAAGCACTGTAGTCAACCAAAGCCTCGAGTGAAGTTGACTTACATATATTATTAATTTCAGAATAGAAAGTCACAATCCCATAAATTAATTCAAATCCATTTCCTATTATAAATCCTCATTGATAAATTAAATCCCACATACTGCAGTTTCTTCTAATTCTGTTCACACTTTAGTTTGCTAATGGGTTTTAGCTGCCTGTCTGCTATTTAAGACTGAGTGAAAATAGAAAAAAAAAATTTTTTTAAAGTAATTTCACTTTGGTAGAAAATCAATGATGTTATTTCATTAACCCCTGATCCTTTCTTTTTGAACAGAAACAGTCATACCTGAAGACTACCTGGTTGATCCAGTGAACACAAAGCATTACAGCGTAGACCCCTCTGATTCTGCCTTTAATTGTATGGGATCCGTGTACTCTATGAGGCAGAGTTCTGGCGATGGGCGTCACGGTGGAGGGTCATCTTCCTCTTGCAGTCATCGCTCTGGCCAGATGGCCTCTGGAGGACCATCAGCTGCAGCTCTGAGGCATCAGACATCAAGCCCAACCAGAAATGGAACCTACATGGAAGGAAACAGAAGTGGTAACATCTTACACTCAATTTTTATTTGATGATGTGTTGAGTTCCTTTGCTACCTGTGAAGTTTAATACTGTGAAGTTTCTATTCTTCCTTAAAGACTAACTCTTGTCATGATGATATCATTTTATGAGCCAGGCCACTCACAACCAAGTGCAGCTCAGCAGCCTTGTATAGTCTGACCCTGAAATGGAGGCGTTGTTCACAATACTGATGGGCTCTATTGTGACTGATTCACCACAAGTTGTGTGGGTCTGATATAAGCATATAAGTTACAATAAAAAGCAGTTTCTTTTTATTTCTTACTGTTTATGTTAAGAAGAAGAGAAACATTTGAAATATGTATTCCAAAAGGCTCAAGCCTTGAGATTAAAATAGTTTACTAACCTGTTTTTAAATAATTACACGAACATTTATTTTTGCAAGCCAGGAAAAGAAACTGAATCTTAATTAGTGCCAGACTCTAACAGAACCCAAGATTACTCCAGTTACAATATGTGTTTCTTTTTTAAAAATGAAATTACATACCGTTTTTTCTAGGTTTTGAAAATCTTTCCATTTATTTAGAATTTTTCAAAAACAATTCCTTGGTTTTATTAAATGAACCTGCAGTAATTCCCTTGCTGCACTTAGATACAATAATTCTGTTCATGGTCTGACCGGGAGCAATATTTTTAAAAAACAACAACAACAAAAACAACAAAAACTTTATTCATTTCTAGTTTGTCAAATGTCACATATATATTTTTACATTTTAAAGAAAGATTTGCCCAAGTAACCTGGTATCTTGACCATTTTAAAGTAATGAATATCTTTCCCTATCTAATTTATTAGTGGGCCTAATAGAACCATTAATATTTCTAATCTGTTTGAGGTACTGTTTGAGGTACTTTCCTCCTCAGCCTGTTGCTTGGCTGTAGCTTGTTGTGGCCTTTTGTTGTCTCACACCACATTTGGTTATTTTCTTTGCTTCAGAAATAACTCTCATTAAACTTCTATTTTATTGAGACTTCATTTATTTCCTTTTTTTCCTGTTTGAGTTAAGTGTGGTTAGTGTGACCCAGAGAAATCTAAATTCAAGTCTAAGCTCATCTTTGGAGCCATTGGGTGGCCTGAGTGACTGAGGTTCAAGACAGAGCCATACTTTCCACTTGTCTCGCCGCTTTCCTCCAAGAAAATCGGCTGTTTACTAATGAATGAGAACAAATATCAATGTTCATTTTTATGCGGATTGACATTTGTTCTGATTCAGCGATAAACAATGGGTTTTCCTGGGGAAACTGGTAAGACAAACGTTAAACCACTTGAGATAAACATGAGTGTGGTCAAGCCCTCTGTCTGTTTAGGTGACCAGTCCTGTTACACTGTGTTTTACCTAAATCTAAAGGCAGTTCCAGATACCACCAGACAGTTCCAGTGAACTGTTTTCTTTTATTGAGAAGATATATGTATATATAATCAAATGATTCTGTTTTATCTGCTGCATCTGTCACTGTTTTTATTATATTGTATTTTTGGAATGCTGTTGCATTTATTGTTTGTTTTAATTGTTGGCTGCTGCCCTGAGTGCTGCATAAGCACTGGAAGGTGGGATATAAATCTTTCTAAAAATAAGTACAAATAAAATAAAATAGGTTGATTATCCCTCTGAGCTGCGTCACGAGTTTTTAAGCGCAGTTCATTTACATATTTTCTTGCCACCTGCCAAAGCCAGGAAATTGGATTTTACCTAAATTATGATCTTTAAGGATAATTATTGGTACTGAAGACTCCTCTCTCTTTGTAATCTGAGCATTCTTTATCATCTTGATTAATTCTGATGACACAATGCCCTAGGATACCTTTGACATGAGAGAGATGAGATCGTTATTAATGTATTTAATCCCTGGTGTGAATAAATTTCAGATGCATTAATGCAGGATTTATATACAGGTAGGGCTCCTCCAACAAAGCATGCAAGACCTGAGGAGTCAAGCAATTTTGCAACAGCTTTGTTGACTACCAATTAGCTTCTGAGCCCAATTCAAAGTGCTGGCTTTAATTTATTAAGTCCCTTATGTTATGTGTGGGTCTAATGTATCTGACAGAGTGCGTCTCCTCAGGATTGGCTGGGAAGGCCCTGCTTAAAGTCCCGTTTTTGCATGAAGCACCATCCAGTACGGAACATCGTAGGGACTTCTTTGTGTTGGCTCTGATACCTGAGGATCACTATCAAAGTACTGTTATAACAGCCCCCTACACAAATCACAGTGATTGCTCAATAAAGACAACAGAGTCTAACTTATGTGCAAGAAACCCAAGAATGCTCAATAAACAGGCTGAAGACCAAGCCTGTTCAGATGCTTCCATGGTCCTCCTGAATTCAGGCTCACCAGTCTCTTTGAACCTCTTGGCTCCTCTTTTCCAAAACCAGCAATGGGCAGAAGTTTGATCTGGATCTATTGGTTGATCTCTGGGTAGTTTGTAGTAGATGAGCAAGAATCTCTGATTCCCCATAGTTTAACAACAGTGGCAATCAAATTACTCACACCTCAATTAGACTGCCAAAGTAACAAAAGCTGGGGGTAATGGATTTGTGTGTGGGAGGACTATGAACTTGGCTCAGTTCTGATACTCAAAACAGATCCCTGTGTTTAGCAGCAGTTCAGAGGCACCGTGTTCTTTTAATTCTAGGTGGATGCCTTTTGCACTGATTCAACTCAGTGGAGCCTGTGGTTTTAGTAAAACACAAAGGGAATCTCCCAAGCCTGAAGTCTGCCCACCTCTGTCTTAAACCACTCTGCAATTTAAGTGTTCCGTGCCACTGACATCCTCAATCTTGCTGTCCCAATCTTATCCTAAAGATGTCTGTCAGACATCTACATATGAGGGAGCACTGATATTGGGTGCTTCACTGCATCTGATAAGCCACATACCACATATTCTGATCTCTTGTGCTCTTTATAGTCCACCTAGCAGACCAAAGAAAGTGCAGAGCTACTATAAGATGTTGGCGCAGCAGAAGGCCATGCAGTGGTGGCATCTTTCCCCTGCTCCATTCCTGTTACTACTTCCTGCATTTTCAATTGCATGACAAGACACCAAACTGGGAAGCTCCTCCTGTGCAAACGGCTTTTGCTGTTTTCAGCAGCTTCTTAATGGCACTATAGCAAGGAGTGATAGAGCAACCAGTGTCAAATCAAGGCTAACTTCATTTCACATTGCGCCGCCTCTTCTAAGCTCATTTGCCTTTGCTTCTCCATGTGTGCATACTCACTTTAATACACACACCAGCGATATAGCTAAAAGCCAAACAGGCTCTGTTTGTTCAGCCATAATGCAGCACTGCCAAGGATAGAGAGGAGCAAATAAAGGGGGTTAAGTTTGGGAAGGAAACGGCACAGAGATAGCGACTGAGATTTATAATTCTGCAGAGACTAAGGAATAAAAAACATAAATGCACTTTCATCCCAGTGTGCTTTATTGCCTTGATTTAATGTTGAAAGGAGCGGATGTGACCTTAAATCATCTCGGCCTTGATGCCATTAAGAAGTCACATGCGCAACGTTCATCTTTGTGCAATTTTTAGTAGCTCTCCAAATAGGTGTTCTTTGGGGACACTGCTTCATAAAAGCTGGTGATTAGGAGGATACTGAGCAGGAAGATATTCTGATCCTGTGGAAAGTGTTAGGGCTGCCTCACATGCAATATGTGTTTTTGCTACGCGGAGCAAATGCAAATTTACAGGTGGGCTGTTCGGTCAGTGGTAGAGCATCTGCTTTGCCTATAGAAGTTCCCAGGTTCAATCCTGGACATTTCCAGGGAGAGCTGGGAGAACACCCCCCTACACCCACACACACACCTGAAACCCAAGGAAGAGCCACTGCCAGTCAATGAAAGCAGTCTTCTGCTAGATGGACCAATGGTCGCTATAAGGCAGCTTCCTGTGTTCTTAAAAGTAGGGCAAGTGTGCATGCAGATGTGGGAATGTAGGGGAAAGTGTCCACACATTGTGCGTGGAGAACAGGGAACGTGCCTCCTTTCCCCTGATGACATGAACCTAGACATTGCCAGGTGCTCCAGCTTCCAGGCCTACCTAATCAGTCCATCCCATGTCCTTTCATGTTTAGGCCTTGGTGGTGGTTCTGTACCCTCCTGCAAATTAGGTCTTCTGTGAAGCAGCCCTCAGTCTAAGGCTTACAGAGGAGACATTTGCAAAAGCCCTGCTTTGTCCCTGCCTACCTTTTATTTTGTTCCATTAGCAGCTTCACGTTTTTAATTCCAGATGGGAAGATGGTGCTTACTTGAGCCACTATCTCTGCTGCCTGTGGTTATGATAGCAGCGGTTGTTACCTTCAGACTGTGGCAGCTGGCATATTTTCTCTCTCCCAGCAGGAAAGTGAGTCCTTTGCATTTTTATAACCCAGGGTTAACCATAATGCCTTCTGCTGAGCAATCAAATCCAAAATGTCCAAACTTCTCTCTGCTTTCTCACTTCTTAGGCCAGCCTTTCCCAACCAGATGCCCTTCTCTCTGTGTGTGGCTGATGTTGTTTTTTACTATAACTTGTCAGGGTGACTGACCTGATGGAAGTTGTAGTCCAAAATATCTAGATAATACAGTGGTACCTCATGTTACAAACACCTCGGGTTACAGATACTTCAGGTTACAGACTCCGCTAACCCGGAAGTAGTACCTCGGGTTAAGAACCTTACCTCAGGATGAGAACAGAAATCGTGCACTAGCGGCGGGGCAGAAGCAGGAGGCCCCATTAGCTAAAGTGGTACCTCAGGTTAAGAACGGTTTCAGGTTAAGAACGGACCTCCGGAACAAATTAAGTTCTTAACCAGAGTTACCACTGTATGAGGCTGGGAAAGCTGCCTTAGGCTTGCTTCCATACAAGGCTCAGATACTAGGTGGCTGTCTTATGTAAATTGGGAGTAAGTCCTATTGGACTTAATAGGAGGACTTAATTCCAAGTTAACCTAAATAGGAATGGTCAATAGCATGGAAAAACCAGTAGTTTGACCTAATTTAAAGGTTACTGCTCTTTGC